ACATACACACACACCTCACCTCCTTGATGTCAAATCCCTACCACCTAGAACAGAACCCATAGTAAGTGCTCATAAAAGGTTTCCTGAATGAGGAATGCCTCTGCTCACGCTGTTCCTCGGGCAGGGCTGCCCTCTACTGGTCTGGCTTTAGAACTTCATTTTTCAAGCTCCAGCTCCCTCATGTGTAACTTCCTATTCTGCCTCCAATCACCAACCTGCACTTTGCTGAAGAACAGATGTTTGTTTCTACAGGGTTTTACCGTACACAGCCCTCTGGACTGGAGATGGGGTTTAGAGGCAACAGCAAAGCAGCGTGTTGCCAGAGATGGGAGAAAGTAAGCGCAGGAAGAGACCCTGCCCTGAGCTCCGGAAAGGCAGCAGTTTACCAAGTTTCTGGCCCTGGGAACCGTCCTTCTAGCTCAAAGTAGCATGGCTGTGGTCTGGCTACAGAACACATAGCCCATCAAGATGCTGTCCACACACAGGCTCCCGGGAAGGAGAGCGCTTTGAGGCATGGTGCGGATGGAAGAAATCAATGCACACAAAGGCACACCTCTGCCATCCCGGAGTTAAACAAGGCCCTGCCCAGGGCTCTCTTTCAGAGGGCAGAGCTGGGGAAAGCAAGGAGAAAGTGGAAGAGGTGGTACCCGCACATTTAGTCCCTAAAGACTCTACCCAGCCTATCACTTTGTTTTTGCTTAGAAGGGTTGGGGAGACTGGAGCCTGGACAGGGATAGAGATTGGAAAAGGAAAAGCTAGGAGAAAAGCGATACTGCCACCCACCTACCTCCAAAGGCAGCCTTATGCAGTGAGCACCCCCATTCTCATACAGGAGATGCTTTCCCATGTACTCCCAGGGGTATGGATGGACAGCCAGGTTCTTTGCTGGCTCATGGCCTGGGGCAGAGACCCACAGGAGGATGAGAAAGATAAGGCTGGCCAAACACCAAGCCACCCAGCTTTCTGTCTCCACACAAACCCACTCAAGCTGCCTTGACCTCTCACATTCCACGGTGGGTGGAGGAGCAGGGAAGGACATAAACCATGTCCTGGGGGCAGAGTCTCTGCCATTACTTTGTTGCTTTACCCCCTCCTCACCCCAAAAGGCTAGGCATCCCCTCCCCACCCCACCTCAGGGATTAACGTGAAAAATCACTGCAGTAGAGCCAGCATGGGACTGTGGTGTCATCAGATGACTCAGGTTCAAATCTAAGCCTGTAAAAGGTTGAAAGCAACCTAAATAGTCACCAGTGTAAGTGTGGTTAAATAAACTTCGTACCTCCCAACAATGGAATACTATACGGCCAGAGAAATGAAGAAACCTTTTATGCTGAGACGGATCTTCAGGATATATGAAGTGAGAAAAGCCAAGTACAACACAATGTGTATAGTGTACTACAATTCTGTAAAAAGGTGGGATAGATGAGATTTTTGTGTGTGTGTGTGTGTGGTACGCGGGCCTCTCACTGTTGTGGCCTCTCCCATTGCGGAGCACAGGCTCCGGACGCGGAGGCTCAGCGGCCATGGCTCACGGGCCCAGCCGCTCCGTGGCATGTGGGATCTTCCCGGACCGGGGCACGAACCTGCGTCCCCTGCATCGGCAGGCGGACCCTCAACCACTGCGCCACCAGGGAAGCCCTAGATGAGAATTTTATATCTACATGTCCCTGGAGAGATGGAGTTAGATGATAGAGAGAAGAGAAATAGAGAGGAAGAGGGGAGGTGAGGAGAGGGAGAGAAAAAGTAGGCATAGAAAGAAGGGAGAGAAGGGGGAATAAAGAGAGGGGATACAGAGAGAAGAAAGGATAGAGGGAGTGAGCTGGAGATCTATCTTGGGAAGAAGACACAAGAAACTGATGGCATTCGTTTCCTCTGAGGAAAACAACTGAGTGGCTGCAGGTGCAGGAAGAGGGTCAAGGGTGAGAGATGTTTCACTGCGTACTTTTTTTACCTTTTGAATATTGATCCATGTGAATATTATTTATATAAAATAACGGTTTGAATTTTAAAAAGCAGCTACAACGAAGGATCCTGGCTTTGCCACCTTCTTTCTGTGTGGCCCCAAGCAAGTAACTTGGTGGAGTCCCAGTCTGTAACACAGGACTGTCATCAACTAATTTGAGGGTTGTTTTGGGGATCCAGAAGATCTCACAAGTGAATCTCCCAGCCCTGTGTCTGGCACACAGTACATTGCTGCTGCTGTTGTCAGAACCCCCCAGCAACGAATCCCAGTGACCTTGGAAGGATTCCAGCATCTCTCTGAGCCCCAGTTCTCTCCTCCAAAACCCTGGGAGAATAACCAACAACCGCATAGGGCTGGTGGGTGGATTCACCCAGGGAAGTGCCAGCACACACAGATGAGCCTTGGGTTTATGTTCATTGTGTCAGAGCTGATCTCAGACTTTGTGCCTGGATGATCTGGTTGCACCCTGCACCCCCATGCCCGCACCTCCACCCAGAGTCGTGGGAGGAAAGAGCCAGAATAATAAGAACAGAGGCCACAGCCCCATCGGTGCTGGAAGTGGTCACTTTATTGGTTGGAAAAGAAGCAGCTGTGGCCGCTCAGGAGGGAGCACAGGCCAGGAAGGGAGGAGGGCAGCTGGGCTGGAGCCAGACAGGGCCAGGCAGACACTTCCACTCCCCGACTCCTCAGGCTGGTGGCTGGAGGTGGAGGAAGAAAATCACAATAATACCGTCAACAACAGTATCCATGATACTGGAAAAGAATGCCTGCAGCTTAAATTCTGGGCCCAAACTCCCCCTACCCCATCACATCCCCCCTTAGCTCCCTACCCCCGCCCCCAGGAAAGCCTCACCGTCTTGAGGCCCTGGGGCTCTGCCTGCACTTTTTGGAAGGTCCTAGACTCATCTCTTCTGCTTCTGACCATCCCCGGACACACCTGGGTATACCATGGTCCCCACTGACAACTGTGACCTTCCTGAGGGGCCACTGTCATTTATGTCCCTAAGAATCCTTCCACCACTAGGAAGTTCCACCATGCCCCTATTCCTTTGGCTAAGCTGGGTTAGATGATCAAAAAGATCTTATTATCTTATTTATCCCATTTTATAAGCAAAATATTTGCAGTTCAGGGAGGTGAAAAAGGCTAGCTAAGTGTCAGAGCTGAAATCTGAACCCAGGTCTTCCTGACTGCAAAGCCAGCCCATGCAGCTGACACTGATGGAGGCAAGAGGCGGAGAGCTCTGGTCCCTGGGGAGACCGTGGTTCTCAGGCACTGAATTAACAACCTTGGGGCCTTGGGCACGTCCTCCCCTCCCTCTGGGTCTCAGTCTTCACATCTGGGCAATAGGTTCCACCACTGACCTGCCAGTCCCTTGGCTGAGAGCTTATCAAAAGTATTGTACGATCAACAATGAGATTTCAACCAAAGGGTTGAAACAGCCTCCCCACTGCCGTACGGCACCAGACTGCTGACCTTTCATTCATCCTTCAGGATTGGCTCAGGGTCCCTTCTGGGAAGCCTGCTCCCTCCTTTCCCCACCCCCACCTGGGTGAGGCTTTCCTCTTCTATGTCCCCCTCACACCCAGCCCTTCCCTCCACTGCAACACTGACGACAGGCACTGGGGGCGTCTGTCCATCTGTCTGCCTCAGCCACTGGGCTGCAAGCTCGGTGAGGAAGGGCGGTGGTCACCTTCCGTCCCAGAACCTGGCACAGAGCTGGCGGCACAGTGCTGGATCCTGCAATGGCCTGACGATGCACGTTCTTTGGTTTTGCTTCTCTTTATTTTCTTACACTTGCTTTATGACTTAATATTGTTTTATTTTTAATTATATGTGGGGAAAGAGAGGCTGCACAATCTTTTCCTTCCAGCGTCAGAGCCCCTCGAGGTGGCTGAATGTAGCCCTGCCTGCCACAGCCTAAGTGCTCAACACACTTGAAAGGGGCATTTGAGACACTGAACTGAAATTAACTGATCTCTACCAGCTCTGTCCTGAAAAGCCAAGCTTTTTGGCGAGAGTAAAGATCAATTCTTCTGCCTCGCACTGGCCTATGCAAAGAGCTTCCTACTTCCCTAACCCATCCAGCCACCGCCCGCCCTCCCAGGACACAGCTGCTCCTCCAGCCACTGACTTATTTACGTGGGTGTTAAGGGGAAAAGGAGTAAATCTTCTCACAGCCCAATTCATCAGCAAATATTGTCCCATCTACCTTCACATAGGTCCCAAACGCAGCCACTTACGTCACCTGGTCCATCATCTCCCACCTGGCCTCTTGCAGGAGCCTCCTCGCTGGTCTCCCTGCTTCTGCCACTGTCCCCTAGGGCCTCCACACAGCACCCTCAGCAATCTTTGCAAATCTAAGTCAGAGCGTGTCCATTCCCAAGGGCCCGACATCTCTGGGTCAAGACCAAAGTCCTTACATGGTCTATCAGGTCCCTCCGCTTACCACCTACCTCTCGGACCCTCTCCTCTGTTGCTCTCTCCTTGATCAGCAGGCTCCAGCCTTCTGGCTTTTCCTGAAACTCACCAGGGAGGCTACTGCGTTACACCTGCTGCCCCCTCGGCCTGTAACATTCTCCCTGATATGCTAGCGGCCCCCTCCATCAATTCCATCAAGTCTGTTCATATGCTGCCTTCCGGGAGGTCCCATGAAAAAAATTGCAGTACTGCTCCCTGCCGCCCCCCCATCCCCACTCCTTATCCCCACTCTTTTTTCTTTTTCTCCAGGCCACTTATTTCCCGCTAACATTTCACAGAGTATACTTGCATATTTATTTTGTTTATCATTCACTAGCATATAAAACCAGCAGAAAGAAATTTGTGTCCGATTTGTTCACACACAGAGCATCCCCAGCACCTAGAGCAGTGCTTGGCACATGATGGACGCTCAGTGAGTGAATCTGTTGAGTGGATGAAAGTAATTCAAAGGACAGAGAAGGGAACAGCAGTGTGTTAGCTCAGGTTCTCCTTTTCAGCCTTCTGCAGGTGTCATCACATCTGGGCATCAGTGCACCCCCTCCCCCCAGGCCACCTACCTCAGAAGACAGGTGTGACACAGGACACCTTCCCGCAACCATTGTGGCAGCATTTCAACAGACCAGGACACTGGCTGTCCACCTGGCACTGGTCCAGGCAGAGGCCGAGCTGGGGGAAGGCGATGTCCACCTGAGGGCAGGAACCCTTCTTTTCTGGGTGGAAAAAGGGGTGGGGGGTGGGCAGAGGGGAAGCAGGGAGCTGAACACGTCTCCATAGCATGACCACCCACCTGGATTCACAAACAAGAGAGATGCCTGCCTAAGTGGATCTTGGGGGCTGGGGTGGATCTCAGGGGACCTTGGGTGATCACCTGCAACCTCCCTTCCTTCTGCTCTCTCCTTGAGTGGTTTGGGATCATAGGGCCCTAGTTTGAGTCCCAGATATGCCTTTTCCTCACTCTGTGACCTGGGACCAGAAATCTCCCAGAGCCCCGTGTCTTCGGGTGTCACATGAGATCCGTGCTGCCCATGTCGTGGGGCTGCTGTGGAGGCAGTGGAGGCAACAGACATATATTCCTTCTCCTGCACAGAGTTCTTGTAATAAGAATAATAATGAGGAAGGACAGCAGTTAACACTTAGCTGCTTCTATGTGCCAGGCATTATCCTAAGCATTTGACGTATATTAACTCAGCTAATCCTCACGATAATCCTAAAACAGGGTGCGAGGAACTGTTACTATTTCCTTATATTGCAGATGAGGAAACTGAGGTACCAAGAAGTTAAGTAATTTGCCTGAGGTCATACAGGGTAGAGACAGGATCTGAACCCAGGAATCTGGCTTCAGGTCTGTGCACCATGCACTCTGCTGCTTTGTAAGCTGTAAAGTGCAGTGCACGTGTGAGGGGTTACATGCCCACAATCTCTTCACTCACTCCCATCTATTCACTCCCAGTTACCACCATCTAGCACCAAGGCCCCTATACAACCTCACTCATCCACACCCAGACAAGCATTCTTCCACTAACACACACACAAACAGATAACACCACAGAGATGTGCTGATTACAAAGCCCTTAGTGTAAATTCAATTTCTCCTTTAAACCTCCGCATCAACTCTCTCTTCTGTAGGGGATATTTCTACTCTGCTCCTACTACAGAGGAGGAAAATTAGACCCAGAGATGTGAAGGCATCACCCAACAGCACACTGCTGATCGTAAGTAAAACCAAGACCTGAGCCTAACCTTCCAATGTCCACACACACACACACAAACACACACACACACCCTGTGCTCCACTTCCAGGGTCAAGGAGAAGGGAGCTGGCTCAATGCCCAGAAGCCCCAGAAGCAAGCCCAGCCAAGTGTCAAACGGGCACACAGCTGGGTGATGAGCTGCAGAGGACAAGGAGGGGCTGTCTTCCTCGCACAAAGTCACCCTTTCCACTGAGAAGGGCAGGAGCTCTCAATACCGAGCTGCTCCCGGACAGAAGGGCATCGGGAGCGGGGTACTCACAAAACAAGCCACTGTGTGTGGAGGGTCTACTCTCTCCTGAGACATTTCACATGTATGATTTCATTTAGCCTCATGTCGACCCTACAACATCTGGGATTCTCATCCCATTTTGCCAGCGAGAACGCAGAGGCTCAGAGAGGTGAAGCGACTTGCTCAGGACCCACAGCAAGCAGATGGCACAACTAGGATTCTAGCTCAGGAGGCCCTCTGGAACTGCCCCTCTTCCTGCCTCAGTCTGTCCACCTGAGACCAGGGAACAGCAGAGACTCCTCCCAACAGCGGAGACTCCACTTTTTTCCGCCCTCCTCTCTCACGTGTCTATCTTTCTCTCCCAGTGTCCTCCTCTCCTTCCGGTCCTCCTCCCTCTGGTCCAGGTTAGAGGCCCCCAGACCCAGAAGCCCCATGATGGGCCTGTCCTCCCTCCACCTCCAACCTCCCTGCTCATGAGTGACTGAATCTCCAATTACAAACCTTCCCAGCCCCTGTGGGCATCTTCAGAGAAATCACAAGGTGGGAGCATCACAGAGGTTTTTTTTCTGGATAAAGACAAGTGATCCCAGCACCTTGGGATCCAAGTCATATCCCTGCTCTAGTCCTCAGTCTTTCCCTCTGAAAAACGAGAAGCTTGGATTCCACAGCTTCCTGCTCTGATAGGAGCCCCCATGGCCTGCTGGACAGTCTTGAGCTCCAGCAAGTACTTTTTATGACAGGCCAGCTTCACACACTTTCTCTCTCTCACTCAACCCTTAGAGTGGACGAGTGTTTTAAAGATGAAGAAGTGGGAGGGGTGCTCTGGGAGGGGTCCTGACATTCTTCAAACCACTCAGGCAGAAAGGAACCCCCTGCGTTATGACTTCTGCCCAGCCAGAGATGGCAATGTGACCTTGGACAAGAACCTTGCTCTCTTTTGTAGCTCACATCCACATCTTTAAGATGGGCTGGGTGCTCTCCTAAACCTGAAAAGTCTCCATCTGGACAGAGGGATTCGGGGAGTCCTGCCAGCAGGCGTCCCAAGTCCTTCCTCCTGGGTTGGGGAGGCCCCAGGGTAGGGGCGCTAATCGGGAGGGGCGCCCCAGACCTTGGGGCCCAGCCCATTGGGCAGCCCTAGGCTGCCCCGCGGCTAAACCCAGCCAGGAGGAAAATCCGAACCAGGTCCCCTGATCTCAGAGAACAATGTTCCGGAACAATGTCCCCGCGGTGCGTCCCGGAAGTCCGTCATGCCCCAGAGCAATGAATCCAGCTAGGAGTGGGGGACCTCCCTTCCCCCTGGCTGCACTTCAGCGACGCCTAGGTTTCACCGGAGCCATGGGAAGGAGAGCACGGGCTGATCTGGCTCCATCCGCCTCGACCTGGTCGGGGACCCCCGGGTCGGTCGTGCCCCAGATCCCGGAACAGAACTGGGCACCCCCTCCCCCTCCCAACCCCCGCTGCCCCGCCCCGCCCCGCGTGGGTCCCCCGGGGTTACCATTGGGCATCTGGCAGACGGTGGCGCAGCCGGCCCGGCAGCACTTGAGATTGTCCGCGCATTCCCCATCCGAGAGGCACTCCTGCGTGCAGTTCAGGTCCACCTCTAGCGCGGGGCACACGCCTGATTTCTCTGCTCCTGTGCCTGGGAGGCGGACGCGCAGTGGGGGACTCAGTCCCGCTCTCAGAGGATGCCCGCCTCCTGTCTGACGGCCCCAAATCTCAATCTCCCGGGAATTCTGAGTCTCAGTTCCTGCTCCCCACACCCCACTACAGCCTTGAGAGAGCCCCACCTCCAGGGCCGAGGTCCCCGATACCTGGGACGACAGGAGTGACCAAACTCTTGGCTTCTGAGCCCTCAATTCTTATGGGACCCCCGCACAACTAAGCCTCTAGGAGCTTCCCATGTCCAGGCAGAGGGTCCCCGCCTCTGGCCAATGAGTCTCCACTGTCAGCAAAGAGTCTCCCCATCTCCCCGCGCATATGTCAGCCTTCAGTGTCTCCCCACCTCCAACACATTGGACCCCACATCTAAAGCTCCAAGGGTCACCACTTTTAGGCACCAGGGATCCCCGCATTTTAGTCTTCATGGGACTCCCCACTTCCACCCCAGGAATCCTCACTTCTCTGTCCCCAGAGAGGCTAAGCTTCTGCCGGGCTCCTTCCCGGCGCTCCTGGTTCGGCCCCTTTGGGCGCCAGGCCTCTCCCCGCCCCACTCACCTGTGACTGGGGGGAGGCCCAGCAGCAGGCCAAGGAGGAGGGCGGCGACGAGCAGACCGAGGCGGCAGGTAGGCATGGTGCTCGCCGGGGCGGGAGTGAGGCGCCTCCCGGAAGGGGGGATTTAACTGCTTTCCTGGGGGGCGTGGGGTAGGGGCGGGGCCGAAGCCGTGCGGGTAGAGGGCTCAGCGGACAAGGCAGGCGGGCCGGCTGCAACCTCTCGCCGTTTCACAATCCCCCAGGATCAGGTGTCACTCTGGCGCCCCAGATCCCGGAACAGAACTGGGCACCCCCTCCCCCTCCCAACCCCCGCTGCCCCGCCCCGCCCCGCGTGGGTCCCCCGGGGTTACCATTGGGCATCTGGCAGACGGTGGCGCAGCCGGCCCGGCAGCACTTGAGATTGTCCGCGCATTCCCCATCCGAGAGGCACTCCTGCGTGCAGTTCAGGTCCACCTCTAGCGCGGGGCACACGCCTGATTTCTCTGCTCCTGTGCCTGGGAGGCGGACGCGCAGTGGGGGACTCAGTCCCGCTCTCAGAGGATGCCCGCCTCCTGTCTGACGGCCCCAAATCTCAATCTCCCGGGAATTCTGAGTCTCAGTTCCTGCTCCCCACACCCCACTACAGCCTTGAGAGAGCCCCACCTCCAGGGCCGAGGTCCCCGATACCTGGGACGACAGGAGTGACCAAACTCTTGGCTTCTGAGCCCTCAATTCTTATGGGACCCCCGCACAACTAAGCCTCTAGGAGCTTCCCATGTCCAGGCAGAGGGTCCCCGCCTCTGGCCAATGAGTCTCCACTGTCAGCAAAGAGTCTCCCCATCTCCCCGCGCATATGTCAGCCTTCAGTGTCTCCCCACCTCCAACACATTGGACCCCACATCTAAAGCTCCAAGGGTCACCACTTTTAGGCACCAGGGATCCCCGCATTTTAGTCTTCATGGGACTCCCCACTTCCACCCCAGGAATCCTCACTTCTCTGTCCCCAGAGAGGCTAAGCTTCTGCCGGGCTCCTTCCCGGCGCTCCTGGTTCGGCCCCTTTGGGCGCCAGGCCTCTCCCCGCCCCACTCACCTGTGACTGGGGGGAGGCCCAGCAGCAGGCCAAGGAGGAGGGCGGCGACGAGCAGACCGAGGCGGCAGGTAGGCATGGTGCTCGCCGGGGCGGGAGTGAGGCGCCTCCCGGAAGGGGGGATTTAACTGCTTTCCTGGGGGGCGTGGGGTAGGGGCGGGGCCGAAGCCGTGCGGGTAGAGGGCTCAGCGGACAAGGCAGGCGGGCCGGCTGCAACCTCTCGCCGTTTCACAATCCCCCAGGATCAGGTGTCACTCTGGCCCCAGTGGGAACCAGGAACGTAAGCTGCTTCCAGGCCGGTGCAGCTCAACCAGCTGCAGCTGGACCCTTGTCCGCTCCTGCTTCCCCACCTCCCTCCTGGGGCCCGTGGGCAGGGCAGCAGGAGGCCAAGGGCTAGACTCAGGGGTTCCCATTCTGAGACTCAGGGGTCTCCCGGTAATGCCCGCTGTCGGTAAAGGAGGGGGAAAGGGCAGGACCCACAGGGAGGAGCCTGCGGATGAAGTGTGTGGATTTGGGGTCAGCAGATCAGAGTGCAGATTGCTCTTTAGAGATTCATGGTGGAGCTGTTGTGTAGCGATACAGAGCACATAGTAGGAGCTACAGGAAAAATTATTCATGAATGAACCGACTGGACACAAGAAATGAGGCCAAAGAAGGTGAAACACCTATTAACATCTAGAGCCATTTCATGTGTGTTTCTCCCTCCCTCTCTTTTCCACACCAACACTCTCTCAGGGCTCACTGTGTGCAGCTCTGTGTCCAGTGTCTCACGGAGTCATGGATCTTCCCAGACAGCTGTGAACAGACAGATATTGTTGCCATCAGCTGTGCCTGACGGGTGGACTGGATGTGCAGAGGGGGTAGCCTCCCACCCAAGGTCCCATGAGAAGCTGTAGAGACAAGGTTTGATCCCAAGGCTCCATCCCTCCAAGCCCTTATTTTTTCCATTCCGTCATAAACGTACGTCCTTCGTGACACATCTAGGGCACACAGCTGGTGTAGAGAAAGTAATGAAAGGAGGCTTCGTCACTGGCTTTGGGTGACGGGGTCTGGGTTTGACTCCCACCCACCTCCACCGTCTGCCAGCTGAGGGACCTTGAGTGAATCACTTCCCTGTTCTGAGCTGCCAGGTTGTCACCTCCAAAGATGTGTGAGTGGTCCAAAGATGGTGTCTCCTGTTAGTAAGGAGACTGATGAGTATACACCAAGCTTTAACGTGCAGGCTAGTAAAGGCCAAAACACAGTTACCCAGCAAGAAGTACCTTCAAACATCTTTCCTGATCCAAAATCTGAGGTCCTTAAGCTCCAGGAGGTCTTTGCTGCTGGAGGGTACAAGGGGGCGGGGGCAGTGACCATTGGGATGACAGGTGAGTCGGAGCTGGTGACAGAAGCACATCCAGCCACTGTCCCCACAGATGGGTCCCGGGGGAAAGAGGTGAGAATGTCTCCCCAATTCCCATGTTCAGCCTGGGGACTGGAGACAGGTGCTGGTTGGGAGGGGCCAGGGCTGTTTACTCTGAGAACGGGGAACAGTCAACAGCCATGACGCAGGAGCCAGGTAGGGGCACAGCCCAGGGCGGCTCTTGGAACTCAGTCTAGGGCAGCAGAGGACACTTTGATGAGCAAATGGTCTTAGCCTGTGGACCCAGCTGCCTACTGGACCTTCAGCCTCAGGCACTGCTGCCGACAGCTTTCTTCTGGCACCTAGCTAGCTCCCCAGGCCAGGAAACTACCCGGCCTTACCCCTCCCCAGCCCTCTTGGGCTCTCCTGGGGATTGACTCTCTCTGACAGAAATGGGGATTAGTCTGAGGCCAAGAGGATGGGGCGGGGCACACGGATGGATGATAAAGTTTCATAGGCCAATGATGTTTAGCTTTTGCGATGCTAGCCTGTGTGCTAGGTATATTCATATAGTTTGCTTCTGCGTAAAATGTAAAAAGGGCAGAGGCTTTAAAACCAAATACATTCAGATCCAAATCAGGGGTTGGCTACTTTCTGGCTATGTGACTTATAACAGCACCTCACTTTTTGGACCTACATCTTCTTTTTCCTTAAAAGGGGTATCATGAGGGAATTCCCTGGCGGTCCAGTTGTTAGGACTCCGTGCTCTCACTGCTGAGGGCCCAGGTTCAACCCCTGGTCGCAGAACTAGGATCCTACAAGCTGCGCGGCGAGGCCAGGAAAAGGGGCGAGAGGAGTATCATGAAAAGTGTTTTGTAGGGTTAGTTTAAGGTTTAAAGGGAAAAGCATAAACCAGAGGTTGCAAACCTGGCTAGAATATTGTATTGTTAGCCCACACAGTACATTTTAAAAGTTTGAATTAGTCGCTAAATTTAAGAGTGGGGGATTTCACATGCAAGTAAAATTCTAGCATCTTTCAGAGAAGGGAAACGATCTGGGAACACAGTCTTGCAACATTCCATGGCAACTGTCTACTAGAACAGTGGGCCTCAAACCTGAGCAGGCATCAGAATCACTTAGACGACTTGTTCAAACACAGTTTTGAGAGCTCTAGCTCCAGAGTTTTGATTCAGTAGGAGACGGGAGGAACGTGAGAATCGGCAACTAACAGGTTTCTGGGGCCGATGATGGTACCGCTCAAGGGACCACACTTTGAAAACCATGAATAAGCTAAGTAGAGCTGCTCTCCTGTTCTGAGAGGAGCGATCTCTCCAGTTTCCATAATCCCCACCGTCCCCACCATTGTCTCCCCTGTCCCCACTCCCACTCCAAATACCTTCATCCACATCACTCGCCTGGTCGGGAAGGAATTTAAAATTGTGACCTCTCGGGTGGGCTCACAGTAGGTGTTCAGTAAAAGGTAACTTGTTTTTATTTAACAATCTTATAACAAACTTAATAATTAGGTATTATTCTCATTTTACAGATGAGGAAACTGAAGTGCAGCTAAGGGAAAGTGACTTACTGAAGGAAACAGCAGTAAATTAGAAGGAAGACGCTTGCAAAGCCTTTTAGTTGTGTGGCTGCAGTTATTTCAATGTTACACACACACACATACACACACATACACACAGAACTCTATCTGAGGTTAGCATAGATGATGCATCAAAAAATTTGAACGTGACTTCATGAGTGTAAAATCATATTTATCAAGGAAGAAAGGAAAGAAGAAAAGGTTGAAACAGGAAGTGATAATGAGTCAGCTGCAGACATGCCTGCCTGCTCTTAGATGACTAAACAAGTGAACATTGAAGATTTGAGAAATTCCCAGGAACGAACAGGGTGTCTTTAACCATACAATGGGGCTCTGTCCTCTTGGACTGTCGGACCCATTCAAACTTCCTTCACTCCAAGGAAACCTCTCTCTCTGAGTGTATTGGCTATTTTGTTGTTTTGTCAGCTAGCATTCTTTTGTCCTTTTTCTGATAACAGTAGTCTGATTTTGATTTGGGAAATGACTCTTCCTCCACCCATGACAGGTAGGGTTGGAGGGGACTGCCAGTCAGAGTTCCTGCCCTACCCCCAGACCAGGAGTGGCCAATCAGATGCTCTCCCTGGAATTGTAATCTTGACCAATGAATGACAAAAGTTCTGAAAATGTATGGCACTCATTCAAAAGTGGCCTGAGAAGACCTTGGCTCTGTCTTGTTTACCATCCTTTCCAAGCATGGTTCTTTTAGCATTACCTTCAGTTTCGTGAGCTAAACTAAATCAGCGCTATAGGTTGCCAACAAAAGACTCCAGTGGGATGTAACTTAAGGGTACAGTTAGGAAGGGAGAATGCTTTCCTACACACCTTTTCTGGAAATCGCGGTTCATTTCCAGTCTCAGTATGAAGAGATTCTTCTCCTTCTTTGGAAATATTTTTCCAGTGTGATTTATATTCAAGATTTGTTATCCCTTCCTATTCTTTTAGGATGTGAGGTTATATGAGTGAATGTATTTTCTAAACTGAAAAGCACTAGACAAATGAAAGGACCCTTTATTTTATTTTATTTTTGGCTGTGTCAGGCCTTAGTTGCGGCGTGCGGGCTCCTCGTTGAGGCACATGGGCTTCTCTCTAGTTGTGGCGTGTGGGCACAGTTGTTGCGGCGTGCAGGCCCCAGAGCGCATGGGCTCTGTAGTTGCGGCCCACGTGCTCAGTAGTTGCGGCACATGGGCTTAGTTGCCCCACGGCACGTGGGATCTTAGTTCCCCAACCAGGGATTGAACCCACGTCCCCTGCATTGGAAGGTATATTCTTAGCCATTGGACCACCAGGGAAGTCCCAGAAGGACCCTTTATGATCACTTGCTGAGACAGACACTTTTCTTTCTGCATCCCTCATCCAAGCAAGAATTTTAAGGAGAACTTAATTAACATATCACTTTTCTTTTTCTTTTTTTTTCTTTTTGCGGTATGTGGGCCTCTCACTGCTGTGGCCTTTGCCGTTGCAGAGCACCACAGGCTCCGGACGCGCAGGCTCAGCGGCCATGGCTCACGGGCCCAGCTGCTCCGCAGCATGTGGGATCTTCCCGGACCAGGGCACGAACCCGTGTCTCCTGCATCGGCAGTTGGACTCTCAACCACTGCGCCACCAGGGAAGCCCAACACATCACTTTAATGAAGATTTATAGCTTCCCTTGCTGCTACCAATGAAAGAAGATGTCTTCAACAACCAACTAGTATTAGGTTTATAGAACTAAAGCATTTGTATAGCATATTGATCTAATTTTAAGTCTGGTTCAAAATTGGCATATGTGCTCCTCTCATTAAATAAGATAAGCCTCTAAGCTCTTGCATATCTCTTTTTTTTTTTCATTCTCAACTTTAGCCCATCTTTCCCCCGTGGTTTTTCAGAATCGTTTCCATTCTATGGAAATCTCCAGAACCACACTTGGCTTCTACCTTAGCCAATGACCTGATCTCCTTCAGTCCCTTCCATGGAAACCTCTTCCAAATTCCATCCTTGTCAGTGAGTATATCTCTGAGGGAACCCTGTGAAGAGGAGAATCCCTTCTTTGCCGAGGTGGACTCTTCCACCAGGGGTTCCATTCCTTCCCATTCTCCCTGTCTTCTCATTTCCCTTCATCTTCATGTGTTCCCTCCCCATGGGATGGAAGTCTCCGTTATCTCTA